CAGTTTTAGCTCGCAGTCTGCTGTTTTGTATTGTGGATTTCTGCCACTTCCATTTATTTGGATTCTGTCTCCTGTTAACAGGTTATTGTGAACCATTTTTCCCTGCCAGGATTCAGTCCTGGAGCTCTTACTGTTAGAAAATCCTGCAGATTTATCTTTCCTCACTATTGTCACTCAAAACTACCCCAGCTCTGGAAGTGACAGGGGTGTGGTAGAATTTATTTGGAAAGGGGATTTGTTTGTTTAATTCTGGGGCGCAGGTATTTAACCATTGCTTGAACCATGCAGTCTGGAACCTCTCCATCTCAGGCTCCTTTGCCTCTGCTCCCAGCATTCTGTGGAATGTACTTGAATTCTTTCTTTCCCCCATAAGCTGTTCAGAACCCTTCTGCTTGAAAAATGAGATATTGGTATACCAGTATTCACTCTCCCTCATGAGGAGGGAGTTGCAGGATGGCCTTGATGGGATCCTGCTCCTGCCAGGGTCAGGAGCAAGAGCCAAATCTTGGGATGGGACCTTTGTTCCCGGAGACCTGAACCCTTCCCAAAACACAGGCTCAGGAACACCGCAAATGAGGCTGCCCAGAGCAGCGGTGGAGTCCCCAGCCCTGGAGGGATTTGAAACCTGTGTAGATGTGACACTTGGGGACATGGGTTACTGGTGGCCTTGATAGTGCTAGGTTAATAACTGGACTTGATGATCTTAGAGGTCTTTTCCACCCTAAACGGTTCTAAGATTCTAAGCAGCAGATGTAAATAGAAAAGGCAGACAGAAATCCCATCAAAACATAACCATGACAGACAAGCTAGGAGCAGCAATGAGGCTTTATTTACATGCTAATCAAATCAATCCTGCTTTGTCAGCCACGTTATCTGGATTGAAAGAGGCTATAAATACACAGGAGCAGAAAGAAGCTCCAGAGAAGAATACGTCTAATTCTGGTATGCTTTTGCCATTAATAGAAGGATACGTGCTCTGTACGAGACCTGAGGAAGAGTTTCTGCCCCTGCAATGCTCGAGTGGCTGTGCCTGCACACCTCAGTCTGGACAGCTGTGAAGTGTCTCCTGTTATTTCCTTTCCCTGTCTGTTGGATGCAGCACTTCTGTGACACCCTGGTCACCTTCAGTCAGATCCAGCAGCTTGTGCCCTGAACCTGCTTTTGTTGTGCAAGTTTGCTGCTTGCTCTGCCCCGGTGTGAACCCCCAGCACAGGAGCACAGGGCAGTGTGGAAATGGAAATGCCTTTCCCTTCTTTCCCTCCTTCCCCCTTTAAGCATTTCCATTGTCACCCAGAAAAAAATTCAGCACTACGCTGCTTTAATGGGAAAAGGGTTTTCTAAAAAGCATTCATAAATAGAATTGAGGGCATGGGAGGAATGAGCTGCAGCCATAAAACAGATGGGTTTTTTTTTTTTCAATGGACAGTATTTGGATAAAATTTAACTTGGAGAATTTCATTATTTGAAAAAGAGCATTTCCCATCAGAATACATTTCTTCTGCTCCTCTCCTGTTGTATCTGTTCCTTTCACATTGGCAGACTAAGTACAAAGGATGTAATACCAGACTTCAAACTGGGTATTTTGGCTCAGCTTTAATGGAATTAAGACTGCACCTTTGATTTTTGAGAAGAGCCAAGCTAAAAGGCAGCGCTGGGTGCTGGTATGTAACAGGTATTTTGAGGTATTTGACAGAAGTTCATTTAGTGCCTACATTAGTTTGAGTAACAGGAGAAAGGCAGAAAAATGCTGCTTTCTTTGAGAATGTGATTCAGTGTCAACGTCCTTTAGGTTCAGTACAGAGTGTATTGGTTAAGATCATAAAACTCAGAAACATGCATGGATGTCACCAGCAGACAGCTCCAGAGCCTAATTCAGCTCACTTGCCTCTGCATCATTGCAGTGGCAAATTCAGTGGGTACTTTATAACTAATCTGTCAAACCATAGGAAAATAAAAACATTGCTCTGCAGTAGCTGTGCACAAATGCACTGGGGACTTCTGTGCAAGCTGTCTGCTCTCTTGGTCATGTTTTCTGCACAGTGAGACCCCTGAGACCTCCCAGTTTTGGCACAGGAGGCAGCTCCCAGGCCAGAGAGGAGCAGCTCCCAGGGTGGCTGCCCTGGGCACTCTCCAGCCCTTCCTGGGCACCTGGAGACTGAGACAAGGCATTGAGCTGCCTTGGCTCCACCAACAGCTCCCTCCTTCTTCATCCTGTGTCCTGCCAAGGGGCCAGGTCCTTTTGGGAGTTCTTTGTGCACGGTCTTGCAGCCCCATGAAATTGCCTTTTCCCTTATGGCTCCATGGACCACGAGCTGGAAGCCATCCACTGAAATTTTACCAAATCAGAGCTGTGGGGAAGACAGCCATGCAAATTTGGCTCAATTAGGTACTTTTCATGCACATTCTGTCCAGCTGGATCCTCGGGTTCCCATCCTCTTTCTTCTGAGAGTGAGGGCTGTGTCCATCCCAGAGACACAGACTGACTTCTCCTTGTATCTCTTCTTCAATGGGCTTCGCTCCCTCTAGCTCCTCAAGAACTCTCTGAGCCCCTCCTCCTCTTCCAGCTCATTTGCAGATATTTTTTCTCTGCTTGCTCTAAATAAAAATAGGTCAGTTGTAAGTAATTTATTATGCAATGATTTTACTATATTTTGCCAGGCATATAATCATACAGTTGTAGCAAATTTTAGTTTTGAACAATACTTCCACTCCAGCTGTTCATGTTCACTCCAGATCTTCATGTAAGTTGCTCTTGAACATTTTTCAGAGTTCCCAAATATTGTTTTTCCTGAAATGAATGAACAAGTCAATTAAGTGTACCTTTTTTTCTAGAAGAAACTAAAAGTTGGAGTATGACAAAATATTAAGCAGTAATAGAGATTTGGTTTTACATCATAAAACTGTCTTCCAACTAAAACCTGATCAAACTTCCAGTTTCTGTGTGGGTTCAGTGAATATTAGGGCTGCTGGGAATCTTAAATTTTAAGAGCAGAAGGTTTGAGATATGGGTTCCCTAAACACCAGATTTTCTGAGCCTGTGGGGCTCACCTGGGCTGCTTGTTGTGCAGGGGCTGCATTTGGGTTCTGCATCCTCACCCTCTTCATGCACACAGACATCTCAGCCTCTCCACAACCAGTGCCCCAAGCCAGACAGGGGCAAGGATTGTGCTGACCCAGACTGCAGAAAGTCTGACTAAGCCTGGTTTCTGTGTGCGTGTGTAACCTCAACAATGCCCTTCTCTGCATTTTCTGTACGTGCAGAATAGGAGTGGAAAGGAAAAAGCACTTCTGTCAAATTCTATTTCACCCTACAAGTCTCTAGATATTTCTGTTTTTTAAAGTCAATGCAACTTGGAAAATCCTGCAGGCTTCATTAGAAAGTGGAAGCTGAGCACTGATGCCTGCTCTTTTCCCTGTGGTGTGACCCAGTGGGACACATGAGGTGGTGTTTCTGCTGTGTCCTCTGCAGGCGTGGGAAGTCACTCCCAGTGACTGCTCCGAGTCATGCACTCTGTGAAAAGGATCAGTGTTTCCTTTCTGGACTGATTAATGAGCACAGACAGATGAGACAGACTCCAATCCAGCCTCGGGATCCAAAACGTGTCCATCTTTTCTCTCCTCGTCTTTTGCTTCACTTGCATGAACCACCTCCGCACCCTGAAGCACATTTGCAAAATCTATTTTCAGCCTCACAAGGCAACATGATCCATATCAGCTCACATTTGTCAACCAAAAATATGTTGATTGGTTAAAAATTACAGAGCAAACCTTACTGGAAGTAAACCGTGAGAACTTTAGAGCCATTCATTTATACCATCTACAGAGCTGATACTATTTTTATCACTAAATATTAAGATGTTCTTTAATGTGTAGACTATGCTAATGACCACGTGCAATTACTGGGAACATACAGCAAAGGCTATTTTATTCTGCAACTGCAGTAATTAAATGTGCATAAATTGGGTACATTTTTGGGAAACAGGCATATTTGAAATGAAGGTTTTTCACCTCTTTATTAGTTAGAGCTCAGATGGCTGATTAGTGCTGGATAACTGATGTGCGACAAATCCATTTTCACTGGGGAGCAAAAGAGGTTGGGTTCTGCAAAATTCGGTTTTCTTTCAATGCTGCTGCTCAATGTTATCACTTAGAACCATGGCAAGGACTCCTTTGAGCTGTTCTGTCACCCCAAGGTCACGACCTGCGTGACGGACTGGCCTCCACCTTGTTCCCTAAGACTCTTGTGGGAAAGAGTGCGGAGAGCAAACTCTTCGTGGGGCTGAAGGATGTCCTGGGCAAAGGGGGAGGAAGAGGAGGGGAGCAGCTCTGCTGCTGTGCCAAGGGCTTTTTCAGCTGGGTAAGGGCAGTGAATGGAACTGCCCCAGCACTGCAGGGCAGCTCAGAGCTGGTGTTTGCACAGAACACATCCCCTTTTACTGGAAAAGTGACTCTGCTGTCCCCTCAGACCCTGCACACCAAGCAGCAGAGAGCCAGGCTGCTGTGTCTCATTGTCAGGCTGGAATCTCTCCTTGGTGTTGTTCAGGGAAGGTCACTGGTAAAAGAGGTTGTATACAGTCTGTGTTGGTCCAGCAGTAAATTCTTTATTCTGCCTTAAACATTTTGTTGCCTTTGCTTCTCTCTGGAGGACTTGGGTGCCTTCTGGAGAGCTGTTTGCTCACAGGAAAACAGAATTGTTCTTTTCATACAAAGACAATAGTGCTTCAGGCTATAAATTTTACTGGCTATAAATTATAGCCAGTAAAAGTGTGTCTGTAAAACATGCTCATCATCCTCATCCAGAGTCCAAGGAGTTACAGACAAGACTGCTAAAATTACAGCTGGCTTTTAATCTCATGCTCTTACTCTGCAACATGTTCCTGTAATATCATCTGATTTTAATGTAACATTTTATGGTCAGTAGTAGGAGGCAGTCCCACCAAATTAAAATCTCTGGAGTAATGAAAATCAGCTCTGTTTTATTTTGTTTTGAATTTTATTTCTTGCTTTTGTGCAACAAACGGTGTCCTGGGGACAATGCATCCAGCACATTCCAGTGTCATGGGCAGGTCATGCAGGGCGAGTCTGTGGGCAGCTGGCTGGGACAGGCAGCACTCCTCCAGCAGAGGTGTCACACACCCTTTGGGATTTCTGGGGCACTAATGGAGCAGGAGGATTTAAGGCTGCAGTGTCAGAGCCTTTCCTTGGATGTGCTTGCTGTGTTGGTTTGGGATCAGGAGATCAGCTCCAGCCATCACTGGCAGCTTGTGGCTCTCCTGGGGCCCTGCTGCCTTCAGCTCTTGGCAGCTCTCAGCTCCCCCGTGCTCTTCTGGCTGTTGGCAGCAATGGAAATCACTCCTGTCTGCCTGCTTGGGAATATACAGAGGCTTCCTTCCCAGTGCATCTCTTTTGGCTGAACTTGTCTCAGTTTGCTCAAAGTTGAGTAAGCAGAGCTTACTTTGTGGGGGAACAAGACAAAGCAGGGAAGGAGATGCTGTCAGCCAGGCCTTGATCTAAGAGACTCAAGATCAAGGCTTGATTCAAAAGAAAACTTGCTCTGTGCAGCAGTTCCCTCAGGTGTGAAACTCAGATCCTGGCCCTGGTTTTTCCTAACTGAAAGATTCCCACTCGCTCAGTGGGAGATTGGACCACATCCATAATTATGCACAGCAAAAAGATGAGCAGAGAACTGGCCCGTTCCTCTGTGTCTTTCATTCCTGCCAGGCTGGACCAGACTATTTAAAGAAAAACAACCATAGAATATGCATGGTCTTGAAGAGAAAAGTAGAGCAGTAAAGCTGATCAGACACAGCAGAGAGTGCTCGGTACACGCTGTATTTTGGGAAGGACAGCTGAGCTGTGCTCAGAAAGCCTCCTCAGCTAGAAGTCAAGTCCAGGAAACTTTGCTGCTGTGAAACATTTTAGTTCTGCTTCCCATTTAAAATTCTGAGAGGTCACAAAAGGCTCTTCCTTCCAGTTGTACAGGGTTGAAAAGCACCAGCACACCTTGCCAGTGTACCCTGGCAAGAGCCTGTGGGCCTGTGCCTGCTCAGAAAGGAAGCTGTCTGCAGAAATTCCTATTTTTGTTTCCTTGAGGAAACACAGGCAAATGATAGGGTAAACTTTTGGAGAGGGTCTTGTGCAGCAGTTACTGTTAGAGATCTCTAAAGAAGGGAGAGTTCTGGAGGAGCTAAAAGTGACATTCACCTCCAAGACATTTTGCACTGCTGGTCAGGTTCTCCCTGCCAGTCTCTGAATCATTATGATAATAATATAGTAATAATAGTAATAAACTGTGACCATCTGCAGGGGAACATTAACCATTTATCCACTGTCTTTATTAGTTCTACAAATTCATCATTATGACAAGAAAAGTAGAAAATATTCTCAGGTCATTAATTTTATGTTGAGATCATCATTCACCACTATTTTCTGTAAGGCCAGGGATTTTTGCCCAAAGCAGTCTCATATGTGTGTTTTCCCATGACTTTTCAAAAGTGTTAGTGCCCAAGGGATAAGGCAGTGATGTGGAAAATAGCCAGCCCCTGTGGGATTTGTTCTCATGATGATGCCAGAGGCTTTCTGGTTACCAAGGATAAAAAAAAAAAAAATTAAGTAAGTCCAGTTTTGAAAATCTCTAATGGCCCTAATTCCTATGCAAATGCCAACAGCCCATATCTATTAGTCTAACTAGGAAATAAGTATCTAAATATTTTGTTATTTCTTGGCATATGGACTCAACTGTGGCTCCCTCCAGGGCAGAGCAGAGGATGGCGAGGAGGGACCAAGACACCTTAATTCTGAGCAAAGACAGGAGCTCAAACATAACCTTTTCTTTCTATGAAAAACTTCATAAGTCTCTGAAAGACTCAAACATACCCAGCAGGATCTGGCTGTCTGACCTCCAGTTATTTCAGCTGCTGCCTCTGAGGATTAGCTCCTGTATTTTGCTTTGTGCTGAAGCTGCTGTGAAAAGCTGGAGCCTGGCTGAATCCAGGAGTCATTGGGAAGGAGGGTAACAGGGCATCCTAAAAGTCCCCCAGTCACTGTGGGTCCATCTCCTCTCCCAGCCTTTCTTCTTCTGCAAGAGAAAGAAAAGAGGTCAGAAAGACCTTGGTTATTTTCATTCCTTAGCTGGCCAGGAGGTCACTGCCCTTTCCAAGCAAAGAAGGTTGTGGGAGTTTCTGGCACAGAGTTATTTCATAAAGCTTGTGACGAGAAACAGAAAACTCAGATAGATCTGTTCTGACCCTGATGTTGTGCTCACAAAACCACTCAGCTTTCCATCTGTGGCACAGAAGATGATGGGCCTTTTCTTTTCTTTGTAAAATGCCTCTGACTCAGACTTTACCTGAAACAGTGCAAAACAGAGTCACTTGTCAGAGGGCAAGCAATTCCTGTTTGAGTTTGCCTGGAGGATAGGAACAGGATCTGTGTGTGTCCTCTGGGCAGCCACTTCTGGACTCGAGTGAGGGAACGTGTAACTCTTTAAAATGGACTGATTTTAATTTTCATTTGTCATGGTCTTATTTTCAGTGTCATTGCTTAAACAATGTGTAATGACTCTGTGAAGACAATCTTGTGCCTGGGAAGACTTGGAGAGAAGTTTTTTTGGATCACGCCCCAGTCCCGTTCTTTGTGCAGCACCTGGTGCCAGCTCCCCGTGACACTATGGCCACAACTCCCCGTGACACCGTGGCCACAGCTCCCTGTGACACCATGCCACAGCCCCCAGTGCCAGCTCCCTGTGACACCATGGCCACAGCCCCCAGTGCCAGCTCCCTGTGACACCATGGCCACAGCCCCCAGTGACACCATGGCCACAGCTCCCTGTGACACCGTGGCCACAGCTCCCAGTGACACCGTGGCCACAGCTCCCTGTGACACCATGGCCACAGCCCCCAGTGACACCATGGCCACAGCTCCCTGTGACACCGTGGCCACAGCTCCCTGTGACACCGTGGCCACAGCTCCCTGTGACACCATGGTCACAGCCCCCAGTGCCATGGCCTGCTGTGGGTGGAGAGGTGCAGCTCCCTCCAGCACAGCCCAGAGATCCCGAGTTTTCCAACAGGATGGAAAGAAAAAAGGCTTTTGTTTAATGCAAGACAGAAAAAGAAACTTCCAGTACGTGATTGCTGCTCTGTTTGTATTGCTGGCTTTAGACATTCGGAGCTTGTGGAACTGCTGGGAGGGGAACATGGTCAGTGCCTTTGTCATCTTGTGCCATTTTGGCTCCTGATGAGGTGTACGTGGGAGGGACACGGCCAAGGGCTCCCCGGCCTGTCTGCACTGGTGCTGGCCCTGCCTCTGCAGCTCCGTCCTGGAGCAGCTCCTGTGCAGCAGGCACCGAGGGGCCACCGGGACCAGCTGCAGCCAGGCCTGTCTCAAAGTGCTCATGACTCTGCTCTCCCCCTCAGAAAAAACGTGTTTGCGATCAAGAAAGACTTTGGGACTGATAACCCTAAGTCTCCTATTTTAAGATCTAGGAACAATGTGATGCTGTAGAAATGTTGTTTGGGAACTTTCTGGCAAAATATTTTTGTTGGAGGATGACTGTTAAAGCTGAAGCTGACACAGGAAAATGATGGTTTGCAGGGCTCCCTTCTTTGAAACAAATTTAAAGCAGCTTTAAGAGAAGCTTTGAAATTATTTTCTGATGTGTGATTCAAAACAGCTTCTACAATAAAACTTCAGTTAATTAATGCTAAAAATTAATATTAAAAATAACTTTTTTTCTATTACCACAATATTTTGAAATTATAGAGATCAGAAATTTAGATTATCCTGCTTGTATGACTTTTTTCTTATTTTCTGATATAAACATACATTTTCCATCACTCTCCAGTGCAAATTTAGTCTGAGAACCAGGCAAGGGTGAAGGAGAGGGCGCACGTTTTGTGCCAGCACAGTTCCTAAGTGACTGTCGTCTGCTCCAGAGGAAAAGGGGTCTGAGCTTTCTAAAGGTCCTTCTTAACGGTGCTGTCAGGATGTCTCACACCTGCCCAGAACCCCTGATCCGTGGCAGTTTGGTGCTGAGGGTTGTGTTTGTTCTCTGCTGGGAGCAGCAGCAGCAGCGCAGCTGAGCAGGGACCACACCGTGTATGACCGACGTGGGTGGACCTGGGACATGCTAAAGGACTGTCAAGGCCAAAGGCAAAACATTTTCTTCTCCTGAATACAAGTATGAGGGTGTCCTTAGGGAAATGATTCACCCCTGCTTGCAAACACTTTGTCATCCCAAATACCATCCCTGAAAATGCCACCGCTGGCCTTCAAGCACTGAGACCAAGGACACAAAGTGTGACTTCATGTCTCTAAACAATTTAATTGTGGCATAAAAAGGGTGGAAACATGCTAAAGATTCGAACAGGTTTCCTCTTTTCCCTTTTTCTGCAGGTAAAGCAGGTAAAATGCCTTGCCAGCCCCAGCTACACTGTCCCAGCTATGTGTCCTGCTGCACATCCCTCTGCCCATGGGGCTTCTAACAGGACACGTTTCCTCAGGACCTGTGGAAGAGAAAGGGCATTTATATACCTTAATTAATAGTCAACCACAGCTCTTTGGACCTGTTTCCATGGGGACCACAGCATGGCTTAGGCTTGTCTTCAGTGTGGTTAATGTGGATAATAAAAGCACTGAAGATGCTGCAGAGCAGACTCCCAGCTGTGCCCGGGGGGAAGCACAGGCCAGGGCTGTTTCCCTCCCTGCTGCTGTTGCAGATGTGAAGGACAGATCTGGAGCTGGATCCTTGGCAGTACACTCCAAGGCTGTTTCTAAATGCCAGGAGGGCTGGCACAGCCACCAGCTGGTGGAAGGAATGCCATCTGAAGGATGCAGGGAGCAGACAGAGTGGCAGGAGGGCAGTGGGGGTGACGGTGACGTGACTCCGGTGCCGTGCTGGCTTTAAGAGGGAATCTGAGCCCTGGGGCTCCAGGCTCTGTCTCAGCACTGCAGGTGCTTCTGAGTGCATCAGCCCAGGTGGTTCCTCACCAGAGAGAAAACAAAGCAGGCTTGCTTGGAGTCCAAGTGCTGCAAGGATGACAGGCTGTACTGCTCCCAGTACAACTGGAGCACGTATTTGGTTGAGGGGCTGGGGAGAGTTATGGCAACAGAGACAACACAACAGCAGCAAATGCCTCTCACATGCCTCACATCTCTACAGCTCCCCTGCCTTCAGAAGAACTCTTCTGCTTCCACCAATGTGTGAGAGGCAGTCCAGAGAATAGTAAGTTCGATTACTATCAGCATTTTGGTAGATTACTTTCAGCATTTTGGCTCTGAAACGGTGGTGGATATGAGCTGAACACTGAGGCTGGGCTCTGCTGAAGGACTGGCAATGGCTGCTGCTTGTTGGAAGAGGAGCATACAATGTGCAACAAGTAAACAAAAGATATCACAGCACTGCATAGGATAAAATGTTCTCATCCCACTCCAGGGATCCAGGAAGAACAAGTGTCTTTTTCTGCTCAGGATTAATGGTGTTATTTGGGCTAATTATTTTGAATATTTCCCTCTTCTTTTTTTAGCCTTTTTAAAGAAAGGAAAAGGATCTTTGTCTGATAAAATGTTTTCATTTGAGTCTTGGCTTTTCCAGATATTAATTTTCTACTCCCACACTTCCATAGTTCATGTGTCATTAAATGAAATAATGAAGCCAGCATGGTTTGCTATTTAACAATTTAAAGGCTGGCTCTGACCTCACTCTTACATCTATTTGCTCTACCCTGTTTCCATTGACTGCAACACAGTCAGTCCCTCTTGGTCTCATGAAAACCTGTCAGTCTCACACACCTGAGCAGAGTGAGCTCACAAAGGGGATGAGTTTTCCCAAGCTGTTCAGTGTGTGCTGGCCCCAAGGGGTAACTGGAGTAAGGGGGACACAAAAACAGACATGTGGGAGAATGGGACCCTCTTCAGGTCCATCTGAGGGCTGTGGCAAAGACTAACATCACACCCTGGGGAAGGGATTATCTCCAGAGCTATGTTATGTTTGTAGGCTCTTTCTGTGACTGTGTTTCCAGTTGTACAACTCAACCCTGTGTTGTCAGTTTATCCTGAGAAGTGTTTGAAGTAAAAGCTCCAATGAATCTGTCAGGCACAAAGTGCTCTGCGTTCTTCAGAGCAGCACATTTGAGCTGCAGCCCCCTGAAGTACTTGAAAACACAAATCAAAGCAAAGGGTCTCACAGGCCGAGATGCACCTCTTGTTACAGGAGTTGAGAGGAAACCTTTTCCTTATTTTCCTTTTCCTTTTCCTTTTCCTTTTCTGGGGGATGCAGGGGGATGCCCGGGAGATACCCGGGAGATGCCCGGGGGATGCCCGGGGGATACAGGGGGATGCCCGGGGGTTGCAGGGGGATGCCCGGGGGATACAGGGGCTGTCCAGGCTGGCACCGCCGTGCCCCAACCCCGCTGCTGCCTCCTTGTCCTCTGGGAAAGAATAATGTGCAAATGAGTTTTCCTCTCCCCTCTGGGAGGGAATTGGCTGGAAGGGGCCCAGTGCAGTATTTTTGGCCAGGCTGTTTCTTTAGCAGCCAGACAGAGAAAAGCCCCGGAGCCAGAGGGAGACTCTCGGGTTGCAAAGGTAGAGAAACAGCTTAACTGAGTCTCAGCTGATGTCTGTGTTGTGATAGTTAAATAACTGGCTGACTCAGACACTGCTCTGTAAACAGGAGCTCCCTGAAGTCAAAACACAAAAATCAGGGTTTAAGATTTCTCCTCCCTAGAATATTGAAGGGCAGACCTAGAAATATTGAGCATTTTGGAATAAAATCATGTATGAATGACTTTACAACTAATTCCTCTTTTTATTCCACCTGGACTGGCCTGTACCAGGGAGGCCTGGACTGAAAGGCTTTCAGTATTTTTTGGCTGCGTTATCTTATTTTCTAACTTTATTAAGATGCTTCTCAGATACTGAATGTATCATATGGAATACACAGTTCTTGTTTCCTCTCTTAGGTCTCTCATAAAAATTTCTATAGGATTTTATAAAGCATAATGTTCTTTCTTAAACAAGAGTTTGTAAGCTCTTTCTTAAGCAAGTGTAGGATGATGTAGAAGAAGGCAGCACATGGGAAGGGAGCAGGAGGTAGGGACAGGGAGGCTTTGGGAGGGCACAGGGCCTCCTGAATCCTCGCATCAGAAACGTCTCACAGAAGTGTGTCACCACTACGTTTTTATGGGAAATGTCAAATCATTTTGACTTTTTTGTTTAGTTTCAACAACATCAAAAATGTTTCATTTTGCTGAGGTAAAAATGTCTCACTTTGATTTGATAATTTCAATTTGTGTCAGTTTGGCTTCTGAGGCAGATGAAAATACAAGCTCTAAAATGGGAATGTGTAAGAGTATAAGGTACATAAGCTGTTTAATTTTTTATAGTGGATTATGACTTTGTAGTTTTAGCACAAAGCATCACAATTCCTCAAACTGAAACAATTCAACATTATCAAAGTCCATTATCTCATGCTCTCTTTTCTGTTGCTCCAAAGAAAACACAATGACAGCTCTCCAGACTATCACAAGTTTCCACGAAACAGATTTTTCTGATTAACATTGCTAAATTGGAGAGAAAAACAGTCATATTTGTTAAGTTTGGAGAACTGAAAGCTCCTTGTTGTGCATAAAATCAGGGGGTAACAGAGTGGGGAATGTTCAGACTCTCCATTGCAGTCTGTCCATCTTCCCCCATCAGAAGTGCCTTTGGGAGGAGCCCTGGTGGGGCTTATCAGAATCTACCTGTGGTTTTGTCCTTTTCTGTGCGCAGAAAAACTGAATTACCTTGGTGAGGTATTTCCAGTGCTGCCACTGGCGGGCTCATGGTTCAGGCTGACCCCATCTGTGCCATTATTCCCACTTGCCTTGCTCACATCTCTCCAGTAACCTCCTCGGCACAGCCCCGTGGGATGTGCAGCTCTGCTCCTTCCCAAGGGAAAAGGGGCACCAGCCCCAGCCCTGCCTCACAGCAGCTCCTGTCAGGCTCTCAGGGAGAGTGGACAGCGACCTCAGAACCGTGCTGGCTGTTAGAGAAGGGATCAGCTGGGAAGCCCTGCAGTTTGGGAAGGAAAGGCAGTGTCTGCTTCCCTGCCTGTTCTGCTGCAGCTGGGAATAGCACAGACTTGCTCTGGTGGCGTTTTCCACCACCCACCATCCCCACAGCCCCAGCACAGATCCCCTGGGAAGGGAATAGGGTTTTCTCCATCATACAAGTACCACATTGGGAAGCAGCAGCTGCTCCTGGTGCTTTGTTCCTGTAGGAGCTCTGAAACAAAAATTCACTATAAGTGACAAAACCAGGGGCCAGTTTTTGTCTTACACTACCAGGATGGCCACAGCTCTTGGCTGCAGTGTTTCCCCAGCTTGGGCCTCTCTGTGAGGCACAGCAGACCTGCAGGGTTTCACCACAAAAATGGGGATTCCTGGAGGTTCCTGGCATATGCACTCAAAGCTGAACCTTCAGAAGGGCTGTAGCTCTTTATCTCTCAAACACACGGACCAGTGTTAGGAAAGGCAGAGGAAATGTTCATACAATTAACAACTAATAACTAACCATTCCTCCCAGCTGCAGCTCTGATATGACTAGAGGTTTGTTCACTGCCTGGCTTCAGCTCATAGAGAACTGACAAGTCTCAGGTTAATTCTCCTGTGTGCCAGCCTTATCTTCTCACTGAAGGAAATTATTAATAAATTCTTGTCTGTCTTGGGGAAGCCGTTCCAGATTTGCAATTTTTTTGAGTGTGCATGTTCTTTCATTCTCCCCTCAAGGCCTTTCAGGCTTATCTGAACAAAACATCCTTGTTGTCATACCAACCATGTAAATCTGTGTTCACATATCTTTCTGCTTTTCTACTTACTTTGTTTGTAGCTCAACTCATTTCAGAACATGAATTCCTACAAAATAGGACAATGTTATCCTGGCACCTATCAAAATGATTCATTTCATAGGTTGGTTTTTGAGGAAATGGATGGTTCTTTAGCTGCCAGACCTTCAGCAGTAGAAGGGCTTAGAGGTGCTATGAGAGTTTTGACTTTTGGTGACAGTGAGGGCCAGGGAGAGGATGCCCAGGCTGTTTTCCTCCAGAGCATCCCCAGGCTCTGATCAGCTGTTCTCAGCTGGTGCATAGGAGAAACTGGTTACAAAGAATGATTGCAAAAACCACCTTTAAAACCCACAAGTACATGCTGCTGCATACACAGTCCAGGATGGATAAAAAAATAGAGCATTTGGAATTAAGCCATAACTGTCTTTTGCAGCCCTGTGGCAACACAGTAAAAGCACCTTGCTGAGCTCTGCTGTAAAATTACATTACACCAGCTTTGATGGGAGGCTGGGGTTGCTCAGGGGTCTCCAGTCAGCTGAGAGTTGAGAACATGATGACTCTGCTCTCAGCCAAGGTGGAAATCCAGGTCTCAGGGTACCTAGAAGGAAGCAGGCAATAAAGAGTAATGGAGTCTTTATTAATAGAACATTGATAAAGTCATTTTCCCTCTGGACAACATGGTGTCATCAATGGTCAGTTTGTCTCCACCAGAGATGCCACCTGGTGATGCAAAATGCAAGCGATGAAAGGTAAGACCTGGACATAAGATATTGATAGGGTGGCAACTTCCAGAGGAAAACTTACCTTTTGAAAATAATGTTATCAGA